TCCGCAGCAAGCCGATTCTTGTTTGGCAATTCCCTTTCACTTCGTTGAAATGGTCTCCAAAGTTTAAATGCCGATCCAGGCGTATGCCGAGGACGCGGATAGACTTCTTAAACGGCATGATCCTTCCGTCGACGCTGATAGGAGAGCGGAGCACCTGGTGATTGAACGGACAAATGTGGGTATATGCGCATTTCTCCACCGATAGGTGGAATCCGACGGATTTAGTCCAGCGTAGAACTGCATTCGTGGCCGCGTTGAGTTTTCTGCGAAGGGCCTTCACTGTGGATCCGACCGCCACCAAGACGATATCGTCTGCATACACGAAGATGTATATTTCTTTGGGTAAGCTGTGGAACACTCCGTTCATCCGTATTAGAAACAGCGTAACTGCGATCACCGAACCTTGTGGAACGCCAGTCTCTTCTGGGAATCCTCTTGATCTATGGTTTCCGATGCATACCTGGAAAGTACGGTGTCGGAGGAAGTTCTTCAAAAAATGGAGAACGTGGCCCGACAGACCCCAGTCCGTGAGTTGAGCAAGAATGTCGGGTGTCCATGTCCTGTTATAAGCCTTAGAGATGTCTAGCGTAGCGAGTTCAGCATGCTGGTCAGAATCTCTCGCGTCTCGAAGTACCTGGTTCAAAGTGGCGAAGTAGGTCCCGGCTCCGTGTCCAGGACGGAAAGCGTGCTGGCGGTGGTCAATGTAGCCGTTACTCTCCAAGTAGAGCACGAGTCTACGGTTGACCATTCTCTCCAGCACCTTACTGACGCAACATGTCAAAGATATCGGCCGGAAGTCCTTCGGTTCGCGACCCGAGGTGCCCTGCTTCGGGATCGGGACGACTAGGCTGTGTCTCCAGTCTTCTGGGATGGAATTATCCAGCCATTCTCTATTGAGAAGTCTGAGGAGTGTGGTCTTGCATTCCGGTGATAGGTATTTCAGCATGGGGTACCCGACGTCATCTGGGCCGGTCGATTTCCCGGTAGCCTTGGATAGAGCTAGGTCAAGTTCCCGTGGACTGAAAGGCCGATTAATCTCCAGCGGTAGTTCATCCTCTGGGATGTAGATGCTGTCCAAGGAGTGCGTCGAAAGGTTTTTAACACGACGAAAGCGATCATCGTACCCGTCAATGGCCGAGAGAGAAGCAAAATATTCCCCCATAGCGTGGGCGATCTTATCAGGGTCTCTAGTGGTGGTACCATCTACCCGGATGGCCATTCCGCGGCTTTTCCGTTTGCCACTTAATGCGTTGACCTTAACCCACAGGTCAGTGGCCGTCTGGTCAGCATTAATGCTGTCCAGAAATTGCTCCCAGCTTGAACTCTTGGCAGACCGGATAGTTTGTCGGCACTCGTTGCGTTTTGCTCTGTAGGTGGCCATGGCCGCTTCTTTCGTTGGATGGTCTGAAGGTAGCCGCTTAGCAGCCCGAAGAGCCTTCCTTCTGGCTTTAACTGCTGCTTTGGTCTCTGGGGACCACCATGGTAGAGACTTAGATCCCGGGTTGGGACTGGTTCGTGGAATTGATGAAAGTGCCGCTTGATGGATGGAGCTAATGAAGTCTTGGATACTGCCCGGTGATGAATTGGACCATGCGGCGTCGACGGACTTCTGAAAAAGGGACCAGTCAGCCTGGTCGTATTTCCATCGTGGTTTACGTAATGTGTCCTGCGGTCGGTCATCGAGTTGGATTACCAGTGGGTAATGGTCACTGCCCATGGGATCATCCTCGGCATTCCAGAGGAGCCTGCTGACAACGCTGGCGCTTGCAAGAGATACGTCTACAGAGGATTCCCTCTGTCCGCTGGTGAAAGTGATGGACCCGTCGTTAAGAACGACGAGATCCGAGGCTTCTGCAACTTCCATAAGTGTAGAGCCTCTGGGGTTGGTTTTTGGGCTTCCCCATGCTGGATGATGGCCGTTCATATCCCCAAGTACCAGAATGGGTCGTTCGAGGTCTTGAAGCAGATCGCTGAGGTGTTGTTTAAGGTTGTGCATCTTCCCGCATGGAAGGTAAGCGGAAACAACTGAAATCGGGAATGGGTGTTCGAGTCTGACCGCCACGATTGGGAGGTCTGTGTCTAGATGTATGGTCGAAAACGGTGTTGGTGCCAGGACCCCGATTGCCGCTGAGTGGAATATGTTTTCGTTTCTCTTTAAGGTCCACTGGTATTGACCGCCCAGCGTACGATTCATGCCGCTGACGGTGGCCCGGTGGACCTCTTGGATGGCCAGGATGGAGGGCATCTGATCACGAACTAGGATTTCTAAGTCTGGAAGGTTGTTATAAAAGCCGTTCATATTCCACTGTATAGCAAGCGGTGGTTTTTTTGACAGTTTGTTCGTTGGGTTTCTAGGGATCCGTGTTGCAGGGGTAGGATAATGGACTGGATCCTTAGGTGTCCTCTTACCGAGGGGAGGTTTCGTGAGGGGATAAGCCTCCAGTAGGCTTGTGTTGGACTGACCTGGTTGCATTCTATAACGGTTCCCCATTGTGAGGGTTCCTGTTAGTAGGTGTGAAGTTGGGTGCTTGTGGCGATCGTGGCTTGCTCGCTCATTTGACGAAGGCGTATTCGAGGGGCCCGCTTCCGGAGAAGGAATTCCCAGCCGTTGGTGCTGCATTTTGTCGTAGGCATCCGCACAGACTAGAACACTAATGGGAAGTGCCTTTCCCGATCTGATTCTGGCTACTCTCCTACGCACTTGAGGAGTTCTGATTCCATCGTCCTTTGTTGATTTGTGCGTCGCACTACGAATGACGCGGAACCCGGTAGGGTTCCACCGGAAGAAGGCATTGAGTTTTTGAACGCCGGCACGGATTTCCCGGCTGCATCGGTAACTTTGTTAGCTAGAGATTTCTTCCCTCTCACTTCATCCTTCGGTGATAGTTTTTGGACAGACTCGTCCCTCTTGACTCCCACGTAGTCCAGAGGGGGATGGGCTCTTGCTCCCATAAGCGGTGATATTCTACTCAAGTGAGGTTTCACTGAGGGACCCACCAGTAGTAGATTCGTCAGCTTGGTCGTCAGTTCTTGAATCTCGGTATGTATAGTGTTGGCTAGAGTTGTCTTGACTCCCACGTCGTCCTCAGGGGAATAGGAGTTGCCTCCCTTTTCCGTCCCTCTTCCGGTAGCCACAGGGTGACGGGGGTTGTCCGCCGGTTCCGGTGTGGCAAAGGCTTCCGCACCGACGGGGCCTCGACTGCCCCGTGGCTCAACCGGGATGGTGGAACGAGTCGTGTCGTTTGTGTTGGTAGGGTTTCGGTGTTCGTCGGAGTTTGCCAACGAGCGTCGGGGGGTGTCTGCCAGTTCCGGTTGGTCCATGGCGTCCGCACTGACAGGGCCCCGACTGCCCGAGGCCTTATCCGGTGCGTTGGAGGTCGATGTCGTTGTTTTGATAGTTGGGGTAGATCCAGTCCGCTCTGGTTGTTGATAGCTCTCAACCTCAGTAGAGGATGATGTTGATGTAGGATGCATCTTGGTGGATAGGTTGTGGGAATTCGGTTCTGATGCGTTAGAAGACGGACTGGACTGCGGAGGTTTAATTTTCCATTGGAGTTAGGCTACCCTCCACGGACATCACCTCGTCTTCCGAGGAAATGAGCTCGTCGACGGTAATCTTATCTCCAGAGGGAGAAGTCTGGGATTCGACTTCGGTGTCAGATATGTATGCCGGTGTAGGGTGGTTTTTTGGTCGTTTCGGATCTGCTCCACCGCTTGTCTGCTTGAGTATCTTTTTCTTCGCTCCAGTGGGTTTTTCTGGTTGCTGAGATTGGGGTTTTTGTTGTTCATGCTCCTTTTTTTTTGTCTTCTCTTGGTACAGATGGTTTCGGGCATTTTGACTGTGCGATGAGTTCCTTGTACTGTTGGTTCACTAACCGGAGATTAGTGACCTCCTTATCTTTGTTGGAGACGGCGGCTTCAAGTATCTTAACTCTGGCGACTAAATCCTCAATGGTCCCGTGTTTACGTGTGATGTCCATTCGATTTTCCCGTTTTAGGGCTGCTTCCAGGGCTTGGATACGTTCGTCTTTGCGAAGTGCCTCCGTTCGCAGGTCCGCAATCATCTGTCGGAGTTCATGCATTTCAGAGCTGCTAGTGGTCGTAGGTCCTTGTTGCAGCCTTTCCTCCAAGGCTGCGATCTTGCGGTCCTTTTCCTCCATTTGGCTGGAGAGATTATCGAACTTCGCTGAGAGGTCTGCGAACGCCTGATCTTTACTGGCGTTAGCGACTCCGGCATAGGATCTTTGACTCGTCGAGGCCTAAAACAGCTTCCTCGCCGCTGGATATGAGATCCCCTTATCGATTCGGATGTGCTGTATAGCGTCTTCGCTTTTGTAAACGGGGCAGATTCTACTCGACAAGGAGTGTTCAATGGTTTTGCAGCGGGGACAGAACGGGTTATCTGTGCACCTAACACCCTCAACGATCGAATGTTGCTTAGAGCAGTTGCCGCATGTTGGAACCTGTTGTTGACAGCGAGCCTTGGTATGTCCGAAAACAAAGCAATTGTAGCATAGCATCGGGGCCGGATAATACGGCCGCGTCTTCACCCGTAGATACCCTATGTCTACATGCTCCGGCATCCTGGTACCTTCGATGGTTAGTATGACTGTCGCCGTGTTAACCTGTTCAGTACCGTTCCGGCGAGTAATCCGCCGGAAGCTCGTCACCTTCTGATCCTTCATGTAGTTCAGTACTTCTTCATCATCGACCTTCATCATCTACCTGCAGTTAATTACGCAACGGACGCTGTTTAGGCCCGTGTGCTTAGTAACCTTTACTGCGGTACCGTCGTTTAGTTGGGTCATGTTTAGAAGTCGATTGAGTTGCCACTTACTTCTGACTTTCAGGGCATAGGCTTGTCCTTGAGCTTCCGGAAACGCACCTTCAATTTTTCCGTTTATCCATTTCTCTACCGATGAACGCAGCATGAAAGGATGTTCCGGTAATTTATCGGTAACAGGCTGCAACTTCAAAACAACAATCTCACCGTGTTCATCATGGGGGTCCATGTAATTGGGTAACGTTGCTCCAGCATGAGATCCATCGATGTAGCTTGCTGATCCTCCCCCGGTGTCTCCAGGGAGGTGAGGAAAATCCCTATCCAGCTCCATGGCTGGAGGGGAGAGAAAAAACTATCCCTGTGACGATCACTCTTCGGTTGATTAGCACCGCACCACACAGGAAAGAATAACACGCAGTGCGACACTACGCACGGCGACGGTTATCGAATCACCACCTCAAATATCTTCGCCTTTCGATAGGCAGTCCGTAATTCACTTATGTCGATCGCAGACTTGAAAGCTTTTTCACCACGATCGTATGATCGTCAGCAGCGATGGCTGACACGAAGATAGCGTCTCTGTGCTGTTGATGGCACTAATTAAATTATGGTTTTTCCACTGACCGCGTTGCCCTCAGGCCGAAATCCACTGTAGAACGCTTCCCAGGTTGACCGAGAAGCGGACTCGATGTGTTTCACAGCTAATCACTACGAAAAACACTCGCGACGGCGCGATAAATGGAATTAGTAGGAGACAGCGTCTGGATGTGACGAATCCGAGCTGTCGAGTGACAATGTTATATTTTTTTAACTTTCAAATAGGTTAGTAGGTATCTAATTATGTTCTGATTTGTCTAGGAATGTCGAGCTTTTATCAATGGAATGCAGGACAAGTTCCCTCTGTTTGCGGCGTATTCGGTTCCTGTCGAAGATGCTCAAATCGGATTGTATCAATTCATGAAACCGGAAGATTCGAACGGTCTATGGTTGGATGTTAACTTTCAACCAGCAACCATAAGGTTTAGCGCCCGCGTCACCCTTATTCGCGAGAAAGACTCTTTGGAGATGACGGTTTATCTGGAGATTTGCCACAGGGACGTTTCCAGAATCGATCTGAAAAAAGAGTGAGTACCTATAACTATTGTTGAAAAAAAAAAGTTTAGTCTAATGAGGCAGAGATAATGAAAACGCTTGTGTTGTCGGTAATGGTTAACCCTCTCCTCATGGTAGCACAGTAGCATGGAAAAGTTCATTCAATCACGTGACTTTTCGTAAAAAAAAAACTTTTTAACATAAAGCTTTCAATTATAAAAATGCTAAAATTTGTTTAAATGGACACAATTCGATCGCAGTTTTCACTTCCTCGACATGAACGAGATTCGCCGGATCGAGAAACAAAATGATTATTTAAATCCTTAATTATTTTCGTTGCAGACGCAATTCTTGTCTGCTTTCGATCGAGTACACAAAAATCACCGTCGAACCGGAGGTGTTAACTGTAGACCAGAAAGGATGCCTTACCTTCACGATTCTGCCGTCATTCGACTGCACTTATCTCACGGACGACGTTCTACCGGAAGTTCGGACGAATGCCGACCGTTTAGAAGATTCGGAGCAACCCTGCACAACCAATCTCGATGGATTATTGAATGTGTCCCTATTGGATTCGATTGTTTCGGGACCTGCCAACAGCCTGAACGCTCATAACATGGAGGATCAATCTCCTCGATTACGTGATAATCGAGATGCAATCGAAAAGCACCGCAATATCCGATGTCAGATGTTGGACAACACCAGCTCGATTGGAAGCAACAAGGAAAATGTAAAACCCCCGTCAATTTCAGATGTTAGGGTTGAGGTGCAGGATGTTCAGCGTTTGCGAGTGTTTGAAAAGCTCCAGCAAGACTGTCAACGTCAGCAGACAAGGCTGAGTCGTAGCTCGAGACGAAATTCTCCGGACAAATGCAATCAGAAGAACGAGCCGGTTAATCCTCGTTTGAATGACGGCAAGAAACGAAAACTGTTCGCTAAGCAAGCGGAACCAGATAACATGAACGTTAGCAATGATTCGCAGATTCAACGCAGCAAATATGTCGACAGGAAGTTGGTGAATACCGTGAAACCCATCCAGACGTTGGACGTGAAACCTTTGAAATTGATCCAAAATATTGGCGAAGAAAGAATTGATCTTTTAAGTGAACCATCCACATCGGAAATGATGTCCAACGACGAGTTTGATCGATCCCTTCAGGCGTTCATCGACCATAACGGCATATTTGGAATCGCACAGCAGAAAATTTTGGACACAAAACTGGAAAAGAACATCCGAAAAATCAATCAGATGGTGGAACGTACTACAAAGAAATTCTTCAAGCGTGAACCAGCTCCGGAGAATCCTTACGATTTCGTCAATACGGATGACAATGATCAAACCGCCCGAAAAGGTGGAAAATCCGCCGCTGGCAAAGGAAAACGAAAGTCACCGAAAACAAACGATGGACATGTTTCGTCGATGAAAAAAGCCAAAAACGTTGCAAACCAGTCTCTTCGCACTAAGAACGCTAAGCCCACCTCTTCAAAAAAAGGTAAAAAGCAAACATCTCCAAAGGCAGCAGACCCTCTAGTGCCATCTCGAGCTTCATTACCTCGCGCCAAGAAGCCTGATCGTATCATCGACTTGGCATCAGATTCGGAAGAGGAAGCTGTTGTGATTGGGAATACCTTCCAGAACCTGGACATCTCTTCGATTGTTCGAGATCCAGCCAAGCCGAAGAACCCCGTTGCCCAGCAGCTATTTGCCAAATCAACACCGGTCGGGGGAGCAAAAAGCAAGAAGCGTTCGATTGATCACATAGTAGATGCACAGCAGAAACAGGAAAAGGTGGCCAAGAAACAGCGTGTTCCTCTGTTGGAAATCAATGCTAACAATAGCACTATTGTAACGCGTCGGAATTACAAGAAGAGTTCAACTCCGAGTGCTCTACAGCAGACGGCGGCCGCTTTGATCGAGCAGGAAAAATACAAAGGTAAATTAAATTAGGGCAGATCAATGATTCTGTCTGGATGTTTCATTCATCCCTATTCTGTATTCCGTTCGAAACGGATTTCCCATATTTCTTTTATATGAGAAATCCGTTTTGAACGGCATAGAGAATATGGGTGATTCTCTAATTCAACAGTACTATTCTGCTTATCTAAGGATCGTAAGATCCTAACCCATAAACGCATAACAGTCCCATTTAAATAGGCAATCAAGCAAAGATTGGACTGTTATGCGTTTATGGGCAGTTAAGTTAAGTTAGGAACGAATATTAGCGACTACACAATTTTATACAGAGTTTGCTGTCGGTTCAATTTGGAACATGTATCAAGATAGTGTTACCTTGCGTTATCTTGCAAGGGACAAACTTGGTAACTGACAAAAAACTTGGATGGTTAAAAAACAAATGAAACACAAAAAATACCTGAGTTGAAGCAATATCTATTAGCACTTAATTCGCTTTATATTTAGATGTGCATTGATTTTGTTTGCCTCATATTCCTTTCAGCACAATCTCTGCAAACTTCATCGTCTATTTCGGACCACAGTGTGCGTACTGAAATTTCCATGGAATTTCCGGGCGCCCATAACCAGTTACCTATGGAACCGCCCACATTGACGGAAGCCATGATTCGCCAGTACCAAAGCTTCGATAGCGATGAACCGATTTCACAGTCCCTCGAAGTCAATCCAAGTCCTCTGCCCGTCCCGGCGGTTGAAAGTCAATCAAAAACTAACGCTGACGTGTTCGCTTCGAAGTTCAATATGAACTACGCTGCTAATCGGTACACGCTGAAAAAGTTCATTTCGAACAACGATCCAACCTATAACAGCGACGAAGAGGTTTCTCCTGCCCATTTGGCAACCAAGCTGCCAAACGATGGCAATGAGTCTGTCCTCAGTGAAAATATTCGCGTTGGCCATGATACTGCCAATCCTCCATCATTGAGAGATGATTCGATTGATTTGCAGTTGTCAGATGGTAGCGTTGTGTTGAATGAGACGCAACCACCGTATTATCCAGCCACGCCGAAAGCTCAGCCGGTTCGTTTTGATTGCAATAACCAAAAAGAACGCAAGGATTCGGAAAAGCGTGCCAACGACATGAATTCAACGAAACATGTTTCGACCAGTGGTGCAGGGAACCAGAATAAAACTAATAGATCGATCGTACAGGCGGCTCTATTCAACAATCCTCCTGCAATGGACGCTATGATGATTGACGAATTCAGCGCCAAATTACATCAGGAGCTGAACCCATCGTTGTCCGACTTCGAGCAAAAGGTGGACAAACTGGCAGGAATGAAGGCGGCATTCGAACCTGATCTTTCCGGGCTCCACATAAAAGAGATCAATCAAAAATGCGTCGAAATCATGTCGCTGGAAGATAGATTGGATGAACTTCTTACCGAACTGGCCGAACTGTGCAACGATGCAGTAGAGAAGTATGCTTATGGGTTGATTTGTAAGGTAAATGGTAAATCTCACACGATGTATTTCCATTGTAGGTCGGATCGGGTAACGATCAGTGCCGATAAGCTGGCAAGATATACAGAATCCAAGGCAAACTACTACAAAGAACGCGTACAAAGGGCTCGTCAGGAGATTCCAGGAATCGTGGATGAGTGTGTCAAGAGCGTTTGGAATCAGCAGGTGCGAATTCGGCTCAGTCAGGTGGAGCTCCTGATGACGAAGATGCTAATGTGAGCGGTCGAAGGTGGTTGATATTTGAACTATTACCTAATCTTTTTGATGATAAATAATAGCGTATATCAGGCGTCATTTTAGAAGTATTATGAATTAGATCGGTATTTTTATGATATGTTAGGTTTATCTGGTCAGGTTATGAATTGTGAGTAAATTTGATCTTGAACTGTGAAGATGAATGCAGTGCTTTAATTTTCTAAATTGCATTTCTCAGCATTTAGTAACTGTTTGCGCCTAAACGTATGCAACCATTATACACCTTATGATAAGCTGCTAAACCTGGAGCTACCCAACAAATCGAATTTATTCGCCGACCAAACTCCGACCCCGACACGGCTGATTGGTAAGTGTGAAGAGGTGGGCCTCTTTGAAGACCTTCAGAATGTGAACCCCTTCGAGGAAACATTTAGACGGGCCGTCGAGGAGAAGAGTTCCGGTTCGGGTGAGAGTGCTCAGGAAAAAGCTGTTCCGGTGATCGGACCAATAGGAACCGGAGATGATACCTTGCATACGCCCCATGTTTTTCCGCTGCTCGAAAGGCGCGACAGTCGTAAGCTTTCAAAGTTGATCATTTCAAGATCCAGTTCCAGAAAAGATGATACACCGGTTTCGGTTAGTCAATCTGTATTGGCATCCGACGCCCGTACTACATCGAAGAGAAAACAGCAGTTTGTCAATCCCATCAGTAAAAAACAACACGTTAACATTTTACCAAAAGTCACCCCGTCATCGCATCCAGTGATAATAATTTCCTGTGAGAGGGATGATCGACTGTCGGTGATCAAAACAACCAGTCCGTTGCATCCGGTGAAAGCCAAGCTTAAAAAGTATCTCGCCAGAAACGGGTCCCAGACAGAGCTTCAGCAACAAGCTGTGCAATTAACATCATCCAACACCACCACAAGTACCTTAAGTGCGCCGAAAAAGACAAAATCTGCTGCAGCAGTCTCGGAAGCAAGTATACCACGGTCTCACGTTTCAGAGGAAGCTACAATTCTAAAGCATGAACGGTGGAAAGCGGCGGCCAAGCGGTATCGGTATGCAACCCACCTATATCGACACAGTTTGACGAATTCGAGTTAATACATCCACTTCCTTTTATAGAACCCGTGTGAAGCAGAATCAGGATTGTGTCCACCGGAAGAACGTGGAGTTACAACAGGAAAATCTGCAGCTCAAAACCGAGCTCGCTCAGCTGAAAAGTGCTCTCTCGTTGCATAAGGACTGTTCCGTGACCAGAGCTCTGGTCGCTGGTACGAACATAAATGCGGCTGGTCCGTCCAAACTTATGTTTATCCCAGTGGATAATGGAATCCATCACCGGCCTCAACAGCAACAATCTGTTGAACCACAGGTTGTTGGTAACACTGTTGCACTCAATAGTAATCCAGTTTATATTATATTAGGTGGAATCAATCCACTGCCAGAGGTAGGCAAGAAGGAATCGAATTGATGCTCAATCCTATCGGACGTCAGGATAGAAGAGGAGATGTTCTATTTACAATATTAAAGTTGAAATTCAAAACAACTGTGTGTTCTTGTTTTGAATCCCCAGTTTTCGCTGTTTAAGTTTCTGTCAAGAAATTCCATTTGAGCGGAAAAGCACACAAATGGATTCCACTTCATCTAGAATGTAGAATTCGTATTAATAATAGTCACCTCCTTAACTTGATATTGAAGAGACCTTCTATGGAGTGGTGATCGATGCGAATTTGATTGATTGATTGATTTCCTTTGTAAAGGAGATTTTCAGCCGTTTGCGGTATGTAAAAGTATTCTTCTAAAACTTTCAAGGAATTATCTTCGGAATTTCCCCAAAATTCCACAAAGAATTCTCTTGAAGTAGTCCAGTAAAATCCATTCAATGCTCCTCAGAATTTCCAAGAAACTCTACTTTCAGTTCTCTAAAAATAATTACAGAAATTACCTTAAGTATTCAAATTTAATTGAATTCATTTCAGAATTCCCTTTATATTCTCCGTTCTCTTGCAATTCCACTCACAAGTACCTTCGAGTTCTCCTTAAACATCTAAAGCCCTACAGTAAAAGTATGGACGTCTGTCAAAAGTTGTTCCAATCGAACCGTCAAAATGCACCGCTTTGCTCGATTGGAACAGCTTTTTCAGTTTTTTGGTGACAGTCGTCCATACTTTAACTAGAGGGCTTTATACACATCTCGTAGAATCATACACTGAGGCAAACAAACCCTAAGACATGACTTATGAAGCTGGACAAATTTGATTCCATAAGACACATATAGACTTATGAATGATTATCGTACTACAAAAGGTAGTACAAGTATGGTTCTTAAACGCTTTTAACCTGTTCAATTTCCCAAGCGTTAACAGAAGTGCGAGAGCAAATCACGGAGTCAATAATCTGAACGCTCAGGGTTCGATTGCGGTCTCCTAGATTGTATATTACTGTTTTTAAGCTTCATAAGCTAACTCATGATTTTCAAAAGAAATCTTTTTGTCGAAAATTCATAAGTGGTTCTTATGGAATTATTACGTTCCTTTGCCTCAGTGTACTCAAAACTCCTTTGAAATTTTAGTTAAAACTCACTTGAAATTCTCTTAGGACCTTGGAACCCTCTTCAGAATTCTGTTGACAATTTACATTGAATCCTACTCATGATCCTCTTGAGATTTTACTCAAGACTACCTTGGAATTATCCTTACGTATCACTTGGAGTCTGGAATTTAGCAGGACTAACTACATACTTTTTTGAAGCCTCATGAGCTTGGAATAGTTAAGGGAATTACGTACAAGTTCAAAAAATTCCATACGTAGAACTTCGCGGAAAATCAACGAGAAACGTAGAAGTGCAGCAAACTTTGTAAAAGTTTTGGGAATTTCGAAGCATTTTGAGAAGCTGTATAAAACATTATATACGTGAAAGGAATTTTGTACTTACATTACCAATCATTGTACTTACATTACCAATCAGGCTAAGGCCTTGTTGTCCTCTGCTTTCCGAAGAAGTCGTCTCCACTCTACTCGATCCATGGCCACACGTCGCCAGCCTCGTAGTCTGCGAAGGGTCAGCAGGTCGCCTTCTACTTGGTCGATCCAAAGATTAGAAAGAAAATCGGCTCAGTTTCTTGAAGAGTATAGTTCAGAGAATGGAATGAACTAGAATCTTTGAAAAATCTCAAAATTTGACAAAATGGCGGTAACTAGGTAAATGACTTTTTTCAAATGCCCGCCATTTTGTCAAATTTTGAGATTTTTCAAAGATTCTAGTTCATTCCATTCTCTGAACTATACTCTTCAAGAAACTGAGCCGATTTTCTTTCTAGGTGACGATTTGCGACCTCTAGGCTGCTCGCAGTTTTGGGAAGTACCCGCCGGGCAGCCGCCATATTGGACGCCATTTTGGATTTTTGGACTTGAAAAAATTCCCAGTTGTAGAGCAAGAATGAAAAAGATTTGACAAAAAACTCAGGTCTCTAACTCTTACCAGTTCCCTGGAAAAAAAATCCAAAGTTTAGATCAATTGAACCGGAAATCGCCCTTAAACTGAAATGAGCATTTCCAAGCTTGTTTGGAGACATGAATATTCCAATAAATTTAGCTGATAGTAATAAAAGTTTATTAGATTTGTATGATTATTTTACAGTGAACTCTCTACAACTCGATATTAGAGGGACCATCGAGTTATAAAACAACAATCCAATAGGAAATCAACATCGTGGTAGCCATGACCAGCACCGTACTCAGCAGTTGACAAAGGTTGCATTTTCCACTAAATAAATCCTGAGAGGAGGAAAAATTTCTGAATTAAATAAGTTTTTTTTTTTTTTTTTTTGACTCCACTGCGTCCTAGCAAGAAGTACGGTCGACTTAGTTCGCGTACGGTCGACTTAGTTCGCGCTCCGCTATTTTGGAAGTTTTCTCGATATTCACTTGATTTAAATTATCAGTTTTTCTCGCTTAGTGTTTCCTGACATAGTTCCCAGTTAAACAATTAACTAAAAGTGAGTTTTTTTCTGAGAAGAAAGTGTGTTTTCGGCATCATCGGAAGGAAAATTGTTTTGGCGATTGCCAATTCGCCAACCATTTTGCGCACCATCGGTGCGTGGTAACGCATACCTGCACACGGATCATCGTCATCGAGTGTCAGCATCTGCCTCCGCATTTACACCGCTCATCTATCATCGTGTGTTCAGCTGAGTGCCGACCCTCATACAAGCACACACCAACGAAGGCCGCCCGCACACGCTGATCGAAGATCACCCACGCTGCGCGTCGCTCCGCTGCTGCTGTTTAAATGCTCGGTGGTAGTAGTATAGGAGTATCAGATAAGTTTTTGTTCTTGTTTCTCTCTTTCGCCCATCTGTTAAATTTTAAGTTTGTGTTCTGTGTTTGTAGTTTTTTTTTGTGTATTGTGTCCGAGTGATTATCGTTTCAGTGGTAGAGCGTTTTTCGCTCCCACTAGTACGGCAAAATGGACATTTTGTCGCAAGACGAAATGGACGTTTTGTCGGAAGATGACACCACTTTGCCACGCGATGGCAAGAAGGGTCGAAAACGTACGTCATCTCAGAAGAAAGATGATGTCATCCCTGGTTCATCGTCTCAGTCTGGCAAAGGACAGGCTCAGATAAACCCCCGATCGCGAGCCTATCCAGATGACTCGACTGGCCCATGGGTTGTCTACTTTCAGCCCAGAAACAAACCTTTGAATGTAATGCAAATTACGAATGATCTGACGAAGCGATACTCGGCCGTGACTGAAATCACGAAGGTTAGGCACAATAAACTTCGTGTCTCCGTCTCTAACCTGAAGCAGGCTAACGAGATTGCTGCCTCCCAGCTCTTCACGCTCGAGTATAGAGTTTACATCCCAGCTCGTGATGTGGAGATCGAAGGTGTGGTCACCGAAGCGAGTCTGACCCCCGAGATCTTGGAGAAGCAGGCGGTTGGCCGTTTCAAGAACCGTTTGCTTCCCCCGGTGAAGATACTGGATGTCCAAAAACTGGGCTCAGTATCTGTCAGCGAGGGTAAAAAGAGTTTTACCCCCACAGACTCGTTCCGTGTGACCTTTTCTGGTTCAGCCCTTCCTCACTACATCGAGCTGGGAAAACTTCGACTACCTGTGCGCTTGTTCGTTCCCCGGGTCATGAACTGCCAAAACTGTAAGCAGTTGGGACATACGGCGTCCCACTGTGGCAGCAAGGCACGCTGTTCCAAATGCGGGGAGAAGCACGAGGATGGCGCCTGCACAGTCACTGCACCAAAATGCGTGTACTGTAAGGGAACTCCTCATGGTATCTCGTCATGCCCGGTGTACAAACAACGCGGGGAGAAATTACAACGCTCACTTAAGGAACGTTCCCGGCAGTCTTTTGCAGAAATGCTTAAGACGGCCACGCCATCGACCAACGACAAAAATCCCTTTTCTCTTTTGTCAGATGACGAGACTGACTCTGACTTGGCTGAGGAGGGAACTTCTTTCCTTTTTTCAGCACGGAAACGAAAACGCATCCGTTCGCGGAAAGTTGAGAATGAAGAACCTCAAATCAGCTTGCCCAAATCAAGGAGTGGTGGAAAAAAGGAAGTTTCTACTCCTCCTGGATTCAGAAGAACTGACTATACCCAGGATTTTCCACCTCTCCCGGGGACATCCAAAACCCCTGATGTCCCATTTTTAAGAACAGAAGCCCCTTCTTCATCTGGGTTGTTCTCATTTGATAAAATTGTGGACGATATCCTCAAGTACCTGAATATTTCTGATCCTCTGAAAAGCATTGTTCTGGCAATGCTTCCTACTGTGAAGACCCTCTTAAAGCAGTTGACATTGAAATGGCCCCTCCTTGCAGCAATCATTTCCTTCGATGGATAATTTTCCAAACGAGGTCGGGGATTTGATCACTATTCTACAGTGGAATTGTCGAAGTCTTATTCCTAAATTAGACTCTTTTAAGTTTTTAGTTCACAATAATGATTGTGATGCATTTGCTCTTTGTGAAACTTAGCTCTCTTCAGATATTGATCTTCCTTTTTATGATTTTAACATTATTCGACTGGATCGTGAGGATTCGCGTGGAGGAGGGGTACTTTTGGGGATCAAAAAGTGCCATTCCTTCTATAGAGTGAATCTTCCACAATTTCCAGGTATTGAAGTTATCGCATGTCAGGCTATTTTTAAAGGTAAGAGCCTTTGTATTGCTTCTGTTTATATTCCTCCTAGAGCCGTTGTTAATCGAAAACAACTTTCAGATATATGTTCGGTACTTCCTGCTCCACGGTTGATCATGGGAGATTTCAATTCCCACGGTACAGGCTGGGGGGAACTGTATGATGACAACCGTTCTACTTTTATATATGACCTCTGTGATAACTTCAATATGACAATACTTAACAATGGAGAAGTAACACTTTTGGCTGGACCATCCTCGAATGGAAGTAAATTAGACCTCACACTTTGCTCTAACTCATTATCGTTGG